AGCTGTAATAGGACAAGAACTTCTGCTGGTGGGAGCTGCACTTCCAACTAGGAAAAAGCACACTACTAGCCCTACAGCACTTCTTGTTAAAACCCAGACATACCATTGCATAGGAAGATTACACATATCAGTCTAGTTTAAAAAATTCTAATGAGATATTACCTTTCAGGAATCTGGTAAATGCAAAATTAGATTTCTTCTTCTCCCCCCCACCCCCCAATAAAATAACCTCAGTTACGCACCAAATGCAATGCTGACAGTGCAAAGAACTACAGATTACCACACAACAAAACTATGTTCCAAAACATAACACTCACCACAGGAAGAAAGATTTGGAAACAGTTCCCTTATGTAAGCAAGTTATAGCTTTGTTTAGTAATTCAGCACTTCTGATGTCAATATTATTCATTAATCTCTGTAGGTTAAAAGAATTTTACACTGCCAGTATACTGGTTTCAAAATCAGTTTGGGTCCAGAAGCTCCAGCTGCTTTCATAAGCACAAAGTCCAAGCTAGTAAATCCTGCTAACAAAGACATTGTTCTATACACAATCAGCTCATGTATCTCTATATCGTATTAGCAGAACCAGGGATGTACTACAAGGACACCTGACTGCACAGCTCATGCTGTCAGGATTCATCAGCTCCGGCTTAGTACTGCTCTTTCTAGTCCAGGGTTTCTAGGCCACATTCCATGGCAAAGGAGATTCTAGGAAAGCATTTTGGTCAGGCCAAACACCAGCTCTGAACCAGCCCCATACGGCTACTAGTTCTGCAAGACTGCGGGAAACTGGTACTTGCACAGATGCTATCAAGAGTCAGGAAGACTGACATCAAAACAAAATTAAGCACTGTTAAATTAACCCCAAGCAGCTAAGCATACCTGCAGAGCATCCTACTCATCAGCTCAGGTAAACATGGTCTTCGCCCCCAGAGGAACACAGATTTTCCAAATACAAGACCATCCAAATCATTTTCTTCCACCAGATGCATATTAGAATAGGCTATTTGGAAAGGTTATAAAATATCTGACACTTTTCAAAAGTGTAGTAGAAAATTTAACTATGTAACTCATTTGCCTCATAATAAATACTATTTTTCAGCTTCAGGGAAAACTTCATAGCTATAATGGCAACATGAGATTACTACCACCTTCACTTTCTGCAAACTGCGAGTTTACTTTGTACTACCATTGCACTACTAAATCAGAGGCCTAATCAATGTTAGCACCATTTGACTATGAGTTTTCAAACAGAACCATCTCCATACCACTCCTCATTATTCCTATCATGAAAATACAGTGGAAAAATACCTCACACTGCTCTTCGTGAAGAGAATGAGGAGGGAAAAAAATCCTACGCAGTGAGTCAGAATTGCCTTTATCCTTCAAAAGGACTTCAGAAGGCACTTGAACATCAGCTTGAAGATGTCTCCATTCTTGCTGCAAAATGAGCTAACCTCAACATTAGCAAAACCGGAGTCTGGACATCTGTTTATACCTGCAGATGAGTAAGCAACACCAAAATATAGATGTCTTCTAATACAGTAAAAAGTTTTAAATCTGTATTTGAAGCAGTAAAACCTCGTTAAAAAAAAAAGTTCAACTTACCTGTGCCAGAAAGACATTCCTTGGAGGTTGTGCTGGTTTTGGCTGGGATAGAGTTAATTCTTTTCATAGCAGCTAGTATGTGGCTATGTTTTGGATTTGTGCTGAAAACAGTGTTGATAACACAAGGATCTTTTAGTTACTGTTGAGCAGTGCTTACACACAGTCAAGGTCTCCTCTGCCTCTCACACCGCCCTGCCGGCAAGGAGGTTGGGGGTGCATAAGAAGTTGGGAGGGACACAGCCAGGACAGCTGACCCCAACTGTCCAAAGGGATATTCCATACCATCTGACGTCATGCTCAGTATATAAAGCCAGGGAAGAATAATGAAGGGGGGGGATGGTCAGAGTTATGATGTTTTGTCTTCCCAAGTAACCATTACCGATGATGGAGCCCTGCTTTCCTGAAGATAGCTGAACACCTGCCTGCCCATGGAAAGCAGTGAATGAATTCTTGTTTTGCTTTGCTTATGTGCACGGCTTTTGCTTTACTTAAACTGTCATTAATTCTACCCATGAGTTTTCTCATTTTTACTCTGCCAATTCTCTCCCCCATCCCACCAGGGGGAGCAAGCAAGCGGCTGTGTCATGCTTAGTTGCCAGTTGGGGTTAAACTTCGACCCACGTATATATACAGGGAAGAAGATGGTGTCTCACACCTGAAGAGAAGCTGCTCTGAATAACCTCTTGCCCAAGCAGTTGCTTTGTGGAAGCCTTTTAGTAACTGAACATTTTACCCACGTGGCACAAAAATGGCAATTTGCAACAACTGGGGAAAAGTTACTATTTCGGGTATTAGGAATTGGGGTTGTTTTGGGGTTGGTTTTTTTTTGGCAGGGGGGTGGGGGGTTTGTTTGGTTGGTTGTTTTTTGGGTTTTGGGGTTTTTTTTGTGGGTTTTGTTTGTTTGTTTGTTTTTTGGTTTGTTTTTTTTGTTTTTTTGGTTTTTTTTTTTTTACAAGACCTTCAACCTCATACAATACATTGTCCTTATAAATATTCTTTGAAGCAGAGAGGAAAACTACTTCCTCCAAGAACAACTCACCACCTTAATAACTACCTTATCTCAGGGAAGCTTTCTTTCTATTTTCTTTTCTATTCAGAACAAGCTCCCTATTGTGCACCATGATCTACTCACCTGGAAGCAGGAAAGCTTACCAAGGCCTTGGCCACATTTGAGAAAGACTGGGAGGACAAAGCGGGAATGAAGGTATTTTACAAATTACAGGAAAATGGAAGTTAAACATACTAGATCACAGAAACATGAGCTGTTTTTAATATATATACACGTATAGCTGCAGACCTAAACCAACTCAATGTTACAACATCTAAACCATTCAGTGACTGTACTTTGGTTCACATGTCCACATTCTAAAATCTTAGACAGTTCCATGTTTGACCAAGTTTATCCTAGAAAGTTTCATTTCTTAATATATACACAAGAGCCATCTATGCTGAAGAGCAAGCTAAGCAAAGAAGGGTTTTTGTGAGGTCAGATGAACTTCATCTGCCCAATACTTTATCTTATCTGCAGGCAAGTATTCCAAAGTCCAATATCAACAAGAGAAAGCAAAATGCTTACTTAACTACTGCAACATACAGCATGACAAAGTGAAAACATGTTTAGTTAGGTTTTAAACTTCTAACGGTCTTTAAAACAACATCACTTCTGTTCAGCATTTGAGCACCTGTTAGATCTACCATCTGCAATTACAAATATCTGTTCAGTGTTACATTAGAATTATGGCAAAGCGCTGCTATCCAACAATCCAAAACTAAACTCAGGACAACATCTTCATTTATCAAGTAGCTCCTTTAAAACACAAAGGCCCCTGCTTTTGAAACATAGCATACCATTGCAGAGATCGGTGGGCTGTTTTTATGGCAATAATAGATTATGTATCAACTAAAGCGTTATGATTGGCAGACTAGTCAGGTCTATAATGAGAAGGACAAATGCACTAATCAACTGAGTAGGGATCACTTACAGTCTCAGATCAGAGAGAAGTGAAACTGGTAGCATTCTCTAGCCATTGCAGATTCAGCGAAAAACAAATTAAAATGGATGGAGGGAAGGAGGGAGATACACACGTTTTCCTTTACACTTGTGAAGCTTAAAGCAAAGCTGGAGTTTACAGTCTAATCTTATGGAAAGAGACTCCAACATACTATATCTGCACCCAAGAAAGATTCTTTATTAGTCCCCCCATGCAACAAGTCAACAATACGCTATACATATACATACAGTGTTATACAGCTTTAACATGCCAAAACAACTTAAAAAAACCAAATCTGGTCAAAGCCATTAGGAGTAGCTTATAACGTCTGGAAGAGTTAAGACCTTGTTCCAACTCTGTCTAGAGGAATCATCCACCAACAGTCATTTTAACAAGTAACACCTATTTACTCTGACAGAAAACAAAATTGCTACTTCTATTTTCGTTCTTCAACCTGACAGCTTAGGAATGAGCCAAGTTTAAGAAAGTTAAGTATCAGCATTTTAGCTAATAACGGGCTTTATCCCCACATAACTTCACAAGAACACATTGATAAGACATTCTGTAACCTACAATCAATAGTTCTACTAAAAGAGAATACAGATCCAATCAAAGTAAAACAGAACTTTCTCTAATTACAAATAGAAGCAAACGCCTCCTCTAAAATCCTCAATGATATAATACAGTATTAAAATAGAAACTTCATCCTCAAATTGAAGACAATAGCCACATCCAGAGTTTACATGTTCCCATAGAACCAATCCAACATTTACCTCAGATCTACTTTTCATCTATTAAAAATAACAAAAGGGCAGTATACTAGAACTTTCTCTTCAAAGCTACCCCAAGCCACTCTAAACATACAGACACTTACCTAATAATAATCCTTAGAGGAAAAAAATTCTCCCTTTCCTTCTCCTCTCCAAGAACCTTCAACATTGATACACTTTCATTAAAGAAAGAGGCTACTGAAACTGCTAGAAGACTTTCTGACACCTACTCTGAAGATATACAGCTACAAGCAACAAATTTCTTTTTGTCACAGTACTCTGAGGAAATACTGCTACAGTCAGTTTCAAGGTCTGGGCTTGCAGGAAGGAAAAAAAAAAGAGCCAGATGCATATTGCCTTCCACAAAAGCAAAAGGAAACCCAATTCAGAAATACTGACTATGTTAATCTAGATTGTCTGGGTTGGGCAATAACACGTAACGTTATGATGATCAGCTACTTAAGTGAAATGAGCTCTTTAGAAGTATCACTTCAAATTATGTTGGCTTCAAAAGGCTTCTGTCCACTTTTTGCTACCAAAAAAAAGAAAATATCAAGTTTTCCTTAAGTAGCATTTTAGAGTTTAATATTAAAGTGTCAAAACCACTTGATATTCTCCAAATAATACTTACTTCATTCCCATGTTTCTGCAGAAATTCTATTTCCTGTTGTGTGAACGTAGTCATTGAAATTGACTTCACTCTGTGGGGTGGGTTCAAGCCCCGTCTAAAAGAAGAAGCAAGAAGTATTTAGTCAGTATTCAGGAAATCTGTCATCATACAATCACTTTTAACATTACAACCAGAAGTCAGCTGGTTTTAAACTTGGGAGCCACCTCTGTAAAACACACTCATTTTGGTACAGCCATACAACTTCAAGCTGTGTAAGCTCATCTCAAAATAACATCCAGCATGCAAAGTCAAATAATGCACTTTAGGGGACACCAATGTTTAGAACTGTACATGCAAACTCACTCTGACCCTTTCTACACAAGTTTATGAAAACATAATTAGACTTTTTTAAAAATCCTCATCTGCTTCACCAAACTTGTTCACCCTTGCCTCTATCCTTCATCTCTCAATCTTAGGTCCCTCTGTTGTAGTTTTCTTTCCCTCCAACTCCTACCTCACTTCAACCTATTCTTACTACAACTTCCACCCAATAGCTAGATTTCTTCAAGCTAAACTCCCCAGCTCAGATTCTTTTTCTCTTGCTTTAACCCATATTTCCTGTTTCCTCCCAGCATCTTTTTCTAGTTTACTTTTTGCACCTCCATCCACAGGTCTGTCATCTTCCTCCTGAATGCTACACAAGTACCAGCAACAAAAGCAAAAAGACAATGCTTTTATTGTGCTCTCAAATGAGAGATACCATTACTAATGCAATAGCTCCAAACTTCAGCAGCTCTGCCTTAAGCAAAGATTGGCACCATTCTCACATCCGTGCCACAGACTGCTGCAGCAAAACTCAAGTCACTTGTGCTGCCAAAGCATGACATTGTCAAACCCAGTTCAGTCAGAACCTGCAAGCATAGAGAAAAATCCTGCTAAGCAACAGTGCCAGTCTAAGAAGTAGCTTGCTTTCTTTTCGAGCTCTCTCTTTACATACACGCTAACTACTGCTTTTGCCCACAAATACAATTAAAAACAAGCTGTGTTTTGCTCAATGAAAACAAGAACATTACATCCCACGTATGCCAGACAGCAGAGACACTAACTCAGGCAATACGATGGGGTTAGTTTAACACTCAAGTTAATCAGGCCTGCATTTTTGTGATACCATCTTTAAAAAAAAATTAATCAATATACATTAACTATGAGATATCAAAGAACACAAAATTCTGTGGTTATGTACAAGAAGAAAGTTTCCAGAAAGGAAGGTGGGGAAAACTTTCCAGGGATGTAATATGGGACTAAAGTCAATCGATAAGAGTTAATTTTATTGCTTATATTTGTTACTTTGTTTTAATTATAAATTTGGTTCAGATTGCTTTCAGGAATAACCCACCCACCCCAACCCCCACAAAAAAAAAATCACTGATATACAATTTAAGACAATTAGCAGTTTTCTTTAGACTCCATGATTACTCCAAGAACACTAACTATAATTAAAGTTGTTATCCATCAAAACAGCATGACAAAAATCTGTTGTTCCAAATATTAACACTTTATACTCAACTTCTAAAGAAAGCTTTCAGCACTTTGAGTTTGAGTAAGCAGAATGGAAAAAAAAAATGTGCATTTAGCTTGCAAATTCACCTTGACACTTAAATTCGTATTGTACCTCTAAGACAATTCTGATCCTATGTTGAAAAAATTTCCATGTTTTTTTTAGTTAAGAGTTGGATATTTATTAGAACACTAAGCAATAGCATTTCAGCCTACGTTTCATTAAAAAACAGATTTAAGACAATGTTTGAAACACTTGGATAAAAATAAACAATTGTATTTTGCCAAGAAACGCAAAGAACTCAAGAATACCTTAAAAACAGAAGTGATACACAAATGTACTGGCATATGAGAATTAATTTTACAGAATGCTATTTGCTTAAGCAAA